ACAACCACAACCCCGTTCCCAATAGCCAGTCCGTTCCCGACAACTACTACGATAGTTACACCTACTTCCACAGTTCCTACTATCACTACTGCAGCAAGACCTACTACTGAGGACACTACCACTACTGTAATTACAGTCAGCAGCACCTCAACAACTGCTACTCAGACAACCTCAACCCCGTTCTCAACAGCTAGTCAGTGCCCTGCAACTTCTATAATAGTTACACTGAGTTTCACTGTTCCTTATGCCATTGCAAATGGTGCTGCAACTTCTCCATTACGTGCTACCATAACTCCATTCCCCACTCCTTTTACAGAAATGACTCCTACTTCCACTGTTGCTAATGCCACTACAAACGCTACTACACCTTCTACAGGCACAACTAATGAGGCCACTGGTGCTACTTCACTTGCCACAAGCATCACATCAACAGATGGTTCTTCCACATCAACTCTTTTCTCAGTGACTACTCTCGACGTCACACTTGGTACTGTTGTTCCCAATGCCACTACAAATGCTACCACACCTTTCCCAAACAGCACACCTACTGAAGGTACTACCTCAACTACCATAATCAATACTTAGACAGACAGTACTATCACAGCAACCACTATCCCAACAAACAGTCCTTTCCCAACAACTGCTATACAAGTTCCACTTACTACCTTTGCACGCTATGAATGCTGGTACACTTTTCCTGACAAGTGTAACTGCTGAAGACACTCCTAGTGCTACTATACCTGCCATTAGAAGTCCCAACAATAGTAACAACAACTTCTTTCTCAGTAAGTAATCCTTCCTGGAAATTACTTTTGAAGTTATGCTAATATAATTTTTTTCTAATGCCAGTATATATGCTACAACAACTTTTCCTGTAAGTACAACTGTCGTGGCCCTTCGGCTTCTCTGCCCAGCCAGACAAGCACTTTAAAAACAACTGTGCTCATGACGTTACAACTGGTGCACTGCAAATACTTGCGTTAGGTGTGGTTGTTTGACAGTCTGACTTGTTCTTGGACATCAGGACACAATACTGCAGTTGTAATCTGGGACTCACATGGCCGCTCAGCACCAGCTGTCAGTAATACCACTGTTTATTTCAGTAATAATGCCCAAAATTGCACTTTATTTTCCTATGGACTTTGTCGAATACTATGACTACCGAGATATTAATTTTGTATTAACCATACTGAAGTTATTATTTTCTCTAAAAAAAAAATTCCGAAATATAACTGTAAATATGGAAATGCTACCATTATAGATCTTGTATATATTTTTACTTCAGAAATTGAATAATTAGGAATATTTTGTTACTTTTACCATGTTGAAAATAAAGACATGATTATAGATGTGAAAAAAAACAACTTCCCAAACATTGCTACCATTACTACTTTTTCTTCTTCTTCTTTTTTTTTAAAAATATTTATTTATTTGTGCATACAGAACTAGGGTACAGGCCAGAGGTGCAGGGGCAGTGAGAGGCTTCACCAGAGATAGAGTGGGGAACAGAATAGGAAGATCAATGAAGTACACTGCTGAGGGGAGCAGCAGGCGGGCCAGGAGAGGTCTGCCGTGCCATGTGGTCACCTCCGGGGCAGGCGGGGATCGAACTCGTGCTGAAGTGGCTTTAGCTTCTTCCTGCTGTGCTTTAACCCGCTGTGCCACCAGGGAGGGCTCGCTATCGTTACTTCTATGTGTACTGTTGACATTCTTTCTACATATTTGATAACTGCTTCTGCAGCCAACTGCAGTAGCTGACGCCACAGACCAAGCGTCTGGAGTCCCTGCTCTGGGCTCCAGGGCCTAAGGCCCTCTTCTCTGCCCAGGCCTGGACCTGTTTCCAGAGCCAGTTCAGCCCACTTGGCCGGCTAGGCTCTTGGCACCTGGTGACCCCGCTGTTGAGATGTGACCCTCGTGAGACGGATACACATCAGCCAGCAGGAGAGACCCTGTGGGAGAGCAAGGGCTGCATCAGAGCTGGCACTGTGGGCCACGGCCCCACTGCCCTCTGGGGCTGCGGGCAGGCCGCCACGTGCCACTTCTGGAGGGAAGCCTCAAGGGAAGGAGAGGAAGTTGGAAGCCAGTCGAGTGCTATTTAATTTGAGTTTGTCCTTCCCTTTCCCACAGACCCCACCAGGGGCTCCTGCTTCTACCTCAGAGGGGACTGGGCAGAGACCTCAGAAGAGGAACTGGAATTCCCTGGAGGGCAGACATCACGGGGAGGAGGTGCAGGGCCCCCTTTTCCACTCAGGCCCCTGGCTAACGTGGCACCCCCGGGGGCTGGGCCCCAGGGTTCTCAGAGAGTCCCCCCTTTGCCTCAGGCTCGGATCCAAGTTTCGACAGAAAATGTATGTTTTACCAGCGTTTCTAGCGCGTTAGGGCCGTTTCCTGGCGGCTGTCGCCAGCTCCTGCGGAACCCGTGAGGGCAACGCCGCCCTGCGCGCCCTGGCCTGGCTCTCGAAGTGGCGCAGGTGGGAGCGTGTGGAGGGGCCGAAGCAGAGCCACCGTCTGTACTGGTGGAAAGGGGAGGCCTGAGAACCCCGGGCCAAGGCCTGTGACCCCAGGAGGCGCGCGGACTCCAGCCTGCAGGGCGGCGAGGAGCCAGGAGAGGGCGCCCGCACACACAGGGCCCAGCTGGCCCTGGTTTGAGACTAGACGCTGCCTAGTAATCTGGTCCTGTCCCCCAGCCAGCGCTAAAGGAAGAGCTGCTTAAATAGGCCCCGGTAAGAGGACTTGGGGCTCTCCCGCTGCTCCCCTTCTCAGCACCCCCTTTCCTCTCTCGCGGTGTAGACTGTTCTGCCTGTGTGGCAGTCACTTGGATTTCCTTCCTCGCCAGTGTGCATCCCTATTTGAACCCTACAGTACCGACACACTCCTGGCACCCCAAATCGGGGAGGGCGTCCCCCGACATGATAACCCTCCAGAAGCCAGGCAGGAACACTGCTGCTTCGGGCGTGCTGATCTGCCCCCACCCACGCTTGGCAAGTGGCCTCTGCCCCCGTCCCGGGTTAGGAAGTGGACACACATGAGCTGAATAACCAGCTACCGCGGGGAAGCTACTCAGGGTCGTGCGAGTCTCTGTGGCCTGTGATCTTTCATGGTTGAGAGAGAAAGGGGGTGCCCCCACCTTAGAATCATGGGGCCAGAAAAAGCCCCTGCGGAGGAAAAATGCCAGTGGAGAAGGGAAGGGGCTTCGGCTAGGCACGTAGGCCCTGGGCAGCCACGGTCCAGGTGCCTGTGCTGAGGCTTTTGGCACCTGTGGGGACACAGGTACTTCAAAAGTCGAGGCGTCTCGGTCCAGCAGCCGATGGGGACACTCCTCCAGCAGCTGTGTCTCCCCGCTGGGAGTGGGACTCGGAGGCTGGAAGTGGACCCAGAGGCTGGGGCAGGCCCAGAGCTCAGCTCCCACCCGCCGGCCCCCCCAAGACCAGCCAGCCTGCCCAGAGCCCACCTGCTTGATCCCCACCGGACGAGGCAGAGTGGGCGTCTCCTGCAGGCCACAGTCGTAGGAATCATCCTGGCAGATGGCTCGGAGCTGGGTTCCATTTCTGGAGGGAGGCAAGAGGCGGGGTGGAAATAAGAGAATGGAGGGGCTGGGGCCCGTCAATAAGGAAGCAGGGGTGGGTGCACTCTGGGGGCAGAGATCGCCCATAAAATGCAAGCACCCTCCCCCCCTTTAGGTCACTTGACTAGCGATTACCCTGAGAGTTCTCACACAGGCAGGACAGAGCTCCGCATCCCGGCCCTTCCCTGTCCTGCACGGCCTGCAGAACCCGACCACCGGGAGCCTGTGGAGCAGGAAGCTGCACACCTGGGCATCAGGCCCGGCCCCTCCGCACATGGAAGAGCCCGCGGAGACAGCTGAAAGCTCATCTCGCCTGCTCCTGGCTTTCCTCCTTAGGAGGGAGGCCCAGCCCCGGGGTTCCTCTAGCCCCTAAGCACTCCTGGCCCCTAAACCCGGACCCCTTCTTTCCCTATGCTAATCAGCAGCGCTCAGACCCCGACCCAGGAGAAAGGACCTGATCTGTTGGGGAGTGAGAAACCGGGGTGGGGGCACCCAGCGTCACCTGCACAAAGCGCTCGTGCATAGCCAGTAGGACAAGCACGAAGTGGCTGGGGAAGGTGGGGATGCCCAGCTGCAGGAGCGCAGGTCCCCAAGGAGTGGCACTGGCCTGGGAAGGCAGGAGAGCAGTGGGCCCAGCGGGGGGCGGGAGCTGGGCGGGGCTGCGACTCCTTTCT